AAATAAATTAATTAGGCCCTAATCTATGGATTTCACAACTGCTAATACAGATATGCATCCATTGGTCACAGATACCTTTAAAAAATTAAAAAAGTAGTGGCGTGGATCAGAAAACCAGTCAGTATCTGGTGTGACCACCATTTGCCTCAAGCAAATGCAATTTGTTGTCTGTAGCTTATGCCTGCCCATACCATAAGCCCACAGCCACCATGGGGCACTCTGTTGACAATGTTGACATCAGCAAACCGCTCGCCCACACAACGTCTGCCATCTGCCCGGTACAGTTGAAACCGGGATTCATCTGTGAAGAGCACACTTCTCCAGCTTGCCAGTGGCCATCGAAGGTGAGCATTTGCCCACTGAAGTTGGTTACGACACCGAACTGCTGTCAGGTCAAGACCCTGGTGAGGATGACGAGCACGCAGATGAGCTTCCCTGAGACGGTGTCTGACAGTTTGTGCAGAAATTATTTTGTTCTGCAAACCCACAGTTCTATCAGCTTTCCGGGTGGTTGGTCTCAGACGATCCCGCAGGTGAAGAAGCCGGATGTTGAGGTCCTAGGCTGGCGTGGTTACATGTGGTCTGCGGTTGTTAGGCCGGTTGGACGTTCTGCCAAATTCTCTAAAATGACAGAGGCAGCTTATAGTAGAGAAATGAACATTAATTCTCTGGCAACAGCGCTGTTGGACATTCCTGCAGTCAGCATGCCAATTGCATGCTCCCTCAAAATTTGAGACATCTGTGGTATTGTGTTGTGCACATTTTAGTGGACTATTATTGTCCCCAGCACTTGGTGCACCTGTGTAATGATCATGCAGTTTAATCAGCTTCTTGATATGCCACATCTGTCAGGTGAATGGATCATCTTGGCAAAGGAGAAATGTTCACCAACAGGGATGTAAACAAATTTGTGCACAAAATTTGAGAGAAATAAGCTTTTTATGCATTTGGAACATTTCTGGGATCTTTTATTTCAGCTCATGAAAAATGGCACCAACACTTTACATGTTGCGTTTATATTTTTGTTCAGTATAGATATGCTAGCCCTGGGGTGTCAAACTCAATCAGCACATGGGCCATATTGAAAAAATTTGACCCAAACTGACCATTGTTTTATTAGAAAAAATATGGCACTTTTATAATGTCCACTTATGTACATACGATGCTGTATATAGCATTTTAACATATTAAAACAAAAGAAGAGATTAATATTTGTTCAGCCTTTGCTGCTATGCTTGCAGATGTGCATGATATGCTGCAACCCTTTTTTTAAAGTATTTAATAACTCCAAATAACAAAAACGTAGCTATAGGTTTGTTGTAACATTTATACGTAAAACATGTTTTTTCCCCACCCCACATTTAGTCATTTTTTGCACTGCAGGGATCACTGTGGAGGTAGATTGCAGCATTGCTGTATGGTGCACTCAAAATGGAGGCTGTTGTAGTTGAGTAGCCAGCCTAGGCTACTGCTTTAATGTTGCTGTAATAGGCCTACATGTTTCTTCTTTGCATGGTGTTTTGTTGCAGGTTAAATTTTTTGGTTATTCATTGTCAAGCTTTAAAAACCGAAGGTAGACTGCAACATTTCAGTAACCAGATGACTGTGGCATCTGTACACTTTCCCTCAGCTGTGCGCTATGAACGGGACACACGAAAGCAGCACAATTGGAGTTGAATTCACCGATGGAGCACATCAGGCTGTAATTTCATAAAGTAGATGACTCAACTGTTGACTAATTTATACTCGCTTGTTTGTCCTATTTGGCCGGCGGGCCTTGTGTTTGACACGTGCGCTAGCCTATTAGCCACATTATGACTGACTTGTGATTATTGCCCTTGCTAGTTTGATTGTATTGTCATTCCCAGCCTTAGTTACAGTTGTCCGTTTTTGTTCAAAATATTGAGTCATTGAAACTGAATTCAACAGTGCATCCCGAATGGAGGCAGCAAACAATGTACCAGGCCAGCTGTGATTTACAACCTGATAGCAATATTTTTAAGACTACCAAGAAATGTATTGGTGAATTATGTTAATCATGCATTGAACTGCATCCATCTATTCAGCCAACAATGCCTTATGGTACGTCACATCATGGAATTAAGTCAAATAGAACCTACTTTTAAAACCTCTTATAAAGTTGGTTTTGAAGCATAAACTGGGAATGTTATATTTTTGACTGATATGATTGTCTGTTTGTTTCATATCTGCAAAGTAGTTAAAATGCTGTCAGTTCCACTTTCAGTGGCAAAGGAATGTTGCCTCGTGTGGTACTAACATTTAGATACTTTGTGAAATAATTTAATAATTAAATGATGGTGAATATATTTTGTAAATGCTTTAGAGATAATTATGGTTTAAGAAATATGACTTAATTTAAATAATAGGTTTTATATTATGATGAATATTCTTCTTCTGATTGAAATACTGACTGAAATGAAGTTATAGTTTGGCTATTGGCTCTTAAATTATGTGTTGGAAATATTTATGGTTATGACAAATATATGTGAATGCTTTATGAAATGATTTGAAATATGCTAATACAAAAGTAAAAAAAAACGTGCCACTACATGACCAAAAGTATGTGGACACCTGCTAGTCAAACATCTCATTCCAAATTCATGGGCATTAATATGGAGTTGGTCCCCCTTTGTTGCTATAACAGCCTCCACTCTTCTGGGAAGGCTTTCCACTAGATGTTGGAACATTGTTGCGGGGACTTGCTTCCATTCAGCCATGAGCATTAGTGAGGTCAGGCACTGATCTTGGTCGATTAGGCCTGGCTCTCAGTTGGCGTTCCAATTCATCCCAAAGGTATTAGATGGGGTTGAGGTCAGGGCTCTGTGCAGGCCAGTCATTTCTGTATGGACCTCGCTTTGTGCATGGTGGCATTGTCATGCATAAACAGGAAAGGGCCTTTCCCAAACTGTTGCCACATAGTAGGAAGCACAGAATCGTCTAGAATGTCATTGTATGCTGTAGATGGTGAAGCTTTACACCACTCCAGCCGACGCTTGGCATTGCACATGATGATCTTAGGCTTGTGTGCGGCTGCTCGGCCATGAAGCTCCCTACAAACAGTTATTGTGCTGACGTTGCTTCCAGAGGCAGTTTGGAACTCGGTAGTGAGTGTTGCAACCGAGGACAGACTATTTTTACGCGCTTCAGCACTCTGCGGTCCCATTCTGTGAGCTTGTGTGGCCTACCACTTCACGGCTGAGCCGTTGTTGCTCCTAGACTTTTCCACTTCACAATAGCAGCACTTACAGTTGACCAGGGCAGAATTTTGGTGAACTGACTTGTTGGAAAGGTGGCATCCTATGACAGTGCCCCTGTTGAAAGTCACTGAGCTCTTCAGTAAGGCCATTCTACTGCCAATGTTTGTCTATGGAGATTGCATGGCTGTGTGCTCGATTTTATACACCTGTCAGCAATGGGTGTGGCTGAAATAGCCAAATCCACTAATTTGAAGGGGTGTCCAGATACTTTTGTGTATGTATAGTGTAAATCAATAAGGAAACAAGCAACAGTAAACATGTCGTCCCCCACCAATTATGCAGCGCTCCTCCTTGAGCCAATTGAGATTGCGTGTGACTAATACATTTCAGTTCATTATTATAGCACCCACTTGTAGCTACACAGAACAGAATGTAAGCTCGCTAGATCAGGATGGTGAAACCAAATATTTTTATAACTAAACCAAGATAGACCACAGCCTGTCGTTTCAAATGGGAACAAATGAGCCATAGAGGGCAGAACAAGCAAGGAGGTGGGCAGATCCAAGCATGAGCTAGCAAGATTCTATTGGTACGTTCTAGCTGCATTTGCATATTTCCGTTGGGGATGCCTACTCTGTGAAGTGCGAGTATGCAATAACTCTAATCGCCTTTGTCTACAGAACTTAGTCCACTCTGTTCGTAACAGAGTGTAGTTTTGGGAACAGAACTGTATTGAGATCAAATGTTTAATCGATGAGTGAATTAGCAGAATTTCGGCCAAAATCCATCTCTTTCCATATTCTCACACTGCCGGTCACTGGGCTTCCTCTCACTACCATATTTGTTCTATCTGTGGTGAAACAGAATGTAAGCTTGCGAGATCAGGATGGTTCGTATGAGGCTACCCGCCTTAGGCCAGTCACTATAATTGTGTAAATGCCGGATCTTTGATTGGAGAAAATAAATGGGAGCTCAAACGCTCTAAACCGGAACCTCAATTCTCTCTGCCCTATCCTTGCCTTCTTACCGGGACACCTGCACCTAGTATCAACTTCTAACTTTACCCAGTGATATGATATAGCCTGCCATACAGTTGACTCCTGGGGTATAATCATTAGTCCAAACAGTTGTGAGAGTTTGTAGTGGACAAATTCAGGGAAGTCCCTCCCCGTTATCGTTCCGTTTGAGAAATGTTTTGCAACAGAATTGGCGGAATGAATACACCCCTGATGAATAATTGATCCCATGTCGTTTTCCCCACCCCACATTTTAGTCATTTAGCAGACGCTCTTATTTAGAGTGCCTTACAGTAGTAAGTACATACATTTCATACTTTTTCCCCCCTCATACTTTTTCTTTCCCCTGTGGGAATCGAACCAACAACCCTGGCGTTGCAAGTGCCGTGCTCTAACAATTGAGTCACGTGGGACCTACATGTCATCCTTATATATATATATATATATATATTTTTTTTTTTATTTATAATTTTTTTTGTATGTCCTTGTTCCGTACTTTGTCATGTATTTGTACGTTTTATGTGGACACCAGGAAGAGTAGCTGCTGCATGTGCGGTAGGTAATGGGGATCCTAATAAAATAAACTTTCCGCCCCGGGCGATGTAAAACGAACGCAGCCAGCATATGACCTGTGACGTAGGTGGCGCCAGAATGCTGTGTTTTGAAATTATACACAAGTAGTTTTGACAGCTCAGGTTTGCTAGGAGTATTGACCGTAGTATTAGCTAGCTAGTAACCTCCTTAAACGCGCACTTAATTCAACACGATGGTGATAATACGTAGAATTTCGGACGCAGTCCAATCAACACACCAACAGTCTTCACAACCAGACGACGACTCTCAATCCCCGCAGACTTCACCGAGAAAGTCCGCACGCTTGACTAAAGTGAGTTGAACAGTTGTGAGTAAAAAAAACAAAAAACTTTCTACAGTGTCCTCGTTTGAAAACAATGTCGGTCACCTCTGCTGTTTGCAAAATCTGCAAAAAATGTCACCGATAAAAAAAAAAAAAACTTTTATAAGTTAGCTATGCAGATAATTGCTGTACATTTCTTAACTTTGTCAAAACAAATCACTTATATTCAACAGATGGAAGACAAATTGATTTGTCAATGCTTCAATGTTGACCAATACATTTTTTTATTTGAGTTCTGCTGTTCTCTTTCTCAGGGATATGTTGGTGAGAAGGATCGGCATATTATCCTCTTGGAAGAGCTAAATGGACAAACACCAGAGAATGGGAGACCTGTCAGAAAGATAACAAGGCAAGTCAGAGTTCTCATGAGTTAAATATTAGGGATATATATACTGAACAAAACATAAACGCAACATGTAAAGTGTTGGTCCCATGTTTCATGAGCTGAAATAAAAGATCACAGAAATGTTCCATAAGCACAAAAATCTTATCTCTCTCAAATTTTGTGCACAAATTTGTTTACATCCCTGTTAGTGAGCATTTCTCTTTTGCCAAGATAATCGATCCACCTGACAGGTGTGGTATATCAAGAAGCTGATTAAACATCATGGTCATTACACAGGTGCACCTTGTGTTGGGGACAATAAAAGGCCACTCTAAAATGTGCAGTTTTGTCACACAACACAATGCCACAGATGTCTCAAGTTGAGGGAGCGTTCAATTGGCATGCTAACTGCAGGAATGTCCACCAGATCTGTTGCCAGAGATTTGAATGTTCATTTCTCTACCATAAGCTGCCTCCAACATCGTTTTAGAGAATTTGGCAATACGTCCAACCCGCCTAACAACCGCAGACCATGTGTAACCATGCCAGCCCAGGACCTCCACATCCGGCTTCTTCACCTGCGGGATCATCTGAGACCAGCCACTCAGACAGCTGATGAAACTGTGGGTTTGCATAAACAAATAATATCTCCACAAACAGTCAGAAACTGTCTCAGAAAAGCTCATCTGCATGCTTGTCGTCCTCACCAGGGTCTTGACCTGACTGCAGTTTGGCGCCGTAACCAACTTCAGTGGGCAAATGCTCACCTTCGATGGCCACTGGGAAGCTGGAGAAGTGTGCTCTTCACGGATGAATCCCGGTTTCAACTGTACCAGGCAGATTACAGACATTATGTATGGCGTTGTGTGGGCGAGCGGTTTGCTGATGTCAACGTTGTGAATAGAGTGCCCCATGGTGGCGGTGGGGTTATGGTATGGGCAGGCATAAGCTACGGATAACAAACACAATTGCATTTTATCGATGGCAATTTGAATGCACAGAGATACCTTGACGAGATCCTGAGGCCCATTGTCGTACCTTTCATCCGCTGACATCACCTCATGTTTCAGCATGATAATGCACAGCCCCATGTCGCAAGGATCTGTACACAATTCCTGGAAGCTGAAAATGTCCCAATTCTTCCATGGCCTGCATACTCGTCAGACATGTCACTAATTGAGCATGTTTGGGATGCTCTGGATTGACGTGTACGACAGCGTGTTCCAGTTCCCTGCCAATATCCAGCAACTTCGCGACAGCCATTGAAGAGGAGTGAGACAACATTCCACAGGCCACAATCAACAGCCTGATCAATTCTTTGAGAAGAAGATGTGTCGCGCTGCATGAGGCAAATGAAGGTCACTCCTTTTTTGTAAGGTATCTGTATTCAGAGTCGTGAAATCCCTAGATTAGGGCCCAATGGATTTATTTCAATTGACTGATTTCCATATGTACTGTAACTCTGTAAAATCTTTGACGTTGTTGCATGTTGTGTTTTTATATTCTTGTTATATATATATATATATATATATACACACAGTGGGGAGAACAAGTATTTGAAACACTGCCGATTTTGCAGGTTTTCCTACTTACAAAGCATGTAGAGGTCTGTAATTGTTATCATAGGTACACTTCAACTGTGAGAGACGGAATCTAAAACAGAAATCCAGAAAATCACATTGTATGATTTTTAAGTAATTAATTTGCATTTTATTGCATGACATAAGTATTTGATCACCTACCAACCAGTAAGAATTCCGGCTCTCACAGACCTGTTAGTTTTTCTTTAAGAAGCCCTCCTGTTCTCCACTCATTACCTGTATTAACTGCACCTGTTTGAACTCGTTACCTGTATAAAAGACACCTGTCCACACACTCAATCAAACAGACTCCAACCTCTCCACAATGGCCAAGACCAGAGAGCTGTGTAAGGACATCAGGGATACAATTGTAGATCTGCAAAAGGCTGGGATGAGCTACAGGACAATAGGCAAGCAGCTTGGTGAGAAGGCAACAACTGTTGGCGCAATTATTAGAAAATGGAAGAAGTTCAAGATGACGGTCAATCACCCTCGGTCTGGGGATCCATGCAAGATCTCACCTCGTGGGGCATCGATGATCATGAGGAAGGTGAGGGATCAGCCCAGAACTACACGGCAGGACCTGGTCAATGACCTGAAGAGAGCTGGGACCACAGTCTCAAAGAAAACCATTAGTAACACATTACGCCATCATGGATTAAAATCCTGCAGCGCACGCAAGGTCCCCCTGCTCAAGCCAGCGCATGTCCAGGCCCGTCTGAAGTTTGCCAATGACCATCTGGATGATCCAGAGGAGGAATGGGAGAAGGTCATGTGGTCTGATGAGACAAATATAGAGCTTTTTGGTCTAAACTCCACTCGCCGTGTTTGGAGGAAGAAGAAGGATGAGTACAACCCCAAGAACACCATCCCAACCATGAAGCATGGAGGTGGAAACATCATTCTTTGGGGATGCTTTTCTGTAAAGGGGACAGGACGACTGCACCGTATTGAGGAGAGGATGGATGGGGCCATGTATCACGAGATCTTGGCCAACAACCTCCTTCCCTCAGTAAGAGCATTGAAGATGGGTCGTGGCTAGGTCTCCCAGCATGACAACGACCTGAAACACACAGCCAGGGCAACTAAGGAGTGGCTCCATGGAGTGGCCTAGCCAGTCTCCAGACCTGAACCCAATAGAAAATCTTTGGAGGAAGCTGACAGTCCGTATTGCCCAGCGACAGCCCCGAAACCTGAAGGATCTGGAAAAGGTCTGTATGGAGGAGTGGGCCAAAATCCCTGCTGCAGTGTGTGCAAACCTGGTCAAGACCTACAGGAAACGTATGATCTCTGTAATTGCAAACAAAGGTGTCTGTACCAAATATTAAGTTCTGCTTTTCTGATGTATCAAATACTTATGTCATGCAATAAAATGCAAATTAATTACTTAAAAATCATACAATGTGATTTTCTGGATTTTTGTTTTAGATTCCGTCTCTCACAGTTGAAGTGTACCTATGATAAAAAATTACAGACCTCTACATGCTTTGTAAGTAGGAAAACCTGCAAAATCGGCAGTGTATCAAATACTTGTTCTCCCCACTGTACATACATACAGTTGAAGTCGGAAGTTTACATACACTTAGGTTGGAGTCATAAAACTTGTTTTTCAACCACTCCACTTTCTTGTTAACAAACTATAGTTTTGTCAAGTCGGTTAGGACATCTACTTTGTGCATGACACAAGTAATTTTTCCAACAATTGTTTACAGACAGATTATTTCACTGTATCACAATTCCAGTGGGTCAAAAGTTTACATACACTAAGTTGACTGTGCCTTTAAACAGCTTGGAAAATTCCAGAAAATGATGTCATGGCGTTAGAAGCTTCTGATAGGGTAATTGACATCATTTGAGTCAATTGGAGGTGTACCTGTGGATGTATTTCAAGGCCTACCTTCAAACTCAGTGCCTCTTTGCTTGACATCATGGGAAAATCCAAAGAAATCAAAGCAGATGTCCTAACCGACTTGCCAAAACTATAGTTTGTTAACAAGACATTTGTGGAGTGGTTGAAAAACAAGTTTTAATGACTCCAACCTAAGTGTATGTAAACTTCCGACTTCAACTGTACAGGGAAAAAAGTATTTGATCCCCTGCTGATTTTGTACGTTTGCCCAATGACAAGAAATGATCAGTCTATAATTTTAATGGTAGGTTTATTTGAACAGTGAGAGACAGAATAACAACAAAATAATCCAGAAAAACGCATGTCAAAAATGTTATAAATTGTTTTGCATTTTAATGAGGGAAATAAGTATTTGACCCCCTCTCAATCAGAAAGATTTCTGGCTCCCAGGTGTCTTTTATACAGGTAACGAGCTGAGATTAGGAGCACACTCTTGAAGGGAGTGATCCTAATCTCCATTTGTTACCTGTATAAAAGACACCTGTCCACAGAAGCAATCAATCAATCAGATTCCAAACTCTCCACCATGGCCAAGACCAAAGAGCTCTCCAAGGATGTCAGGGAACAAGATTGTAGACCTACACAAGGCTGGAATGGCCTACAAGACCATCGCCAAGCAGTTTGGTGAGAAGGTGACTACAGGTGGTGCGATTATTCGCAAATGGAAGAAACACAAAATAACTGTCAATCTCCCTCGGCCTGGGGCTCCATGCAAGATCTCACCTCGTGGAGTTGCAATGATCATGAGAACAGTGAGGAATCAGCCCGAACTACACGGGAGGATCTTGTCAATGATCTCAAGGCACCTGGGACCATAGTCACCAAGAAAACAATTGGTAACACACTACGCCGTGAAGGACTGAAATCCTGCAGCGCCCGCAAGGTCCCCCTGCTCAAGAAAGCACATATACATGCCCGTCTGAAGTTTGCCAATGAACATCTGAATGATTCAGAGGAGAACTGGGTGAAAGTGTTGTGGTCAGATGAGACCAAAATGGAGCTCTTTGGCATCAACTCAACTCGCCATGTTTGGAGGAGGAGGAATGCTGCCTATGACCCCAAGAACACCATCCCCACCGTCAAACATGGAGGTGGAAACATTATGCTTTGGGGGTGTTTTTCTGCTAAGGGGACAGGACAACCGCATCAAAGGGATGATGGACGGGGCCATGTACCGTCAAATCTTGGGTGAGAACCTCCTACCCTCAGCCAGGGCATTGAAAATGGGTAGTGGATGGGTATTCCAGAATGACAATGACCCAGAACACACGGCCAACGCAACAAAGGAGTGGCTCAAGACGAAGCACATTTAAGGTCCTGGAGTGGCCTAGCCAGTCTCCAGACCTTAATCCCATAGAAAATCTGTGGAGGGAGCTGAAGGTTAGAGTTGCCAAACGTAAGCCTTGAAACCTTAATGACTTGGAGAAGATCTGCAAAGAGGAGTGGGACAAAATCCCTCCTGAGATGTGTGCAAACCTGGTGGCCAACTACAAGAACCGTCTGACCTCTGTGATCGCCAACAAGGGTTTTGCCACCAAGTACTAAGTCATGTTTTGCAGAGGGGTTCAAATACTTATTTCCCTCATTAAAATGCAAATCAATTCATAACATTTTTGACATGCGTTTTTCTGGATTGTTTTGTTGTTATTCTGTCTCTCACTGTTCAAATAAACCTACCATTAAAATTAGACTGATCATTTCTTTGTCAGTGGGCAAACGTACAAAATCAGCAGGAGATCACCACCTCAAGCTGAACCTCGGCAAGACGGAGCTGCTCTTCCTCCCGGGGAAGGACTGCCCGCTCCATGATCTCGCCATCACGGTTGACAACTCCGTTGTGTCCTCCTCCCAGAGTGCAAAGAACCTTGGCGTGACCCTGGACAACATCCTTTCGTTCTCCGCTAACATGAAAGTGGTGACCCGATCCTGTAGGTTCATGCTCTACAACATTCGCAGAGTACGACCCTACCTTACACAGGAAGTGGCACAAGGTCCTAATCCAGGCACTTGTCATCTCCCGTCTGGATTACAGCAACTCACTGTTGGCTGGGCTCCCTGCCTGTGCCATTAAACCCCCTACAACTCATCCAGAACGCTGCAGCCCGTCTGGTGTTCAACCTTCCCAAGTTCTCTCACGTCACCCCGCTCCTCCGCACACGCCACTGGCTTCCAGTTGAAGCCTGCATCTGCTACAAGACCATGGTGCTTGCCTACGGAGCTGTGAGGGGAACGGCACCTCCGTACCTTCAGGCTCTGATCAGTCCCTACACCCAAACGAGGGCATTGCGTTCATCCACCTCTGGCCTGCTGGCCCCCCTACCTCTGCGGAAGCACAGTTCCCGCTCAGCCCAGTCAAAACTGTTCGCCAGGACAGCGGAGTCACTCACCACCTTCCGGAGACACTTGAAACCCCACGTCTTTAAGGAATACCTGGGATAGGATGAAAGTAATCCTTCTACCCTCCCCCTCCCACAACCCATTTGAATGCTGCCGGTGCTTTCACTCTAGTGGTAGCATGAGACGGAGTCTACAACCCACACAAGTGGCTCAGGTAGTGCAGCTCATCCAGGATGGCACATCAATGCGAGCTGTGGCAAGAAGGTTTGCTGTGTCTGTCAGCGTAGTGTCCAGAGCATGGAGGCGCTACCAGGAGACAGGCCAGTACATCAGGAGACGTGGAGGAGGCCGTAGGAGGGCAACAACCCAGCAGCAGGACCGCTACCTCCGCCTTTGTGCAAGGAGGAGCAGGAGGAGCACTGCCAGAGCCCTGCAAAATGACCTCCAGCAGGCCACAAATGTGCATGTGTCTGCTCAAACGGTCAGAAACAGACTCCATGAGGGTGGTATGAGGGCTCGACGTCCACAGGTGGGGGTTGTGCTTACAGCCCAACACCGTGCCGGACGTTTGGCATTTGCCAGAGAACACCAAGATTGGCAAATTTGCCACTGGTGCCTTGTGCTCTTCACAGATGAAAGCAGGTTCACACTGAGCACATGTGACAGACGTGACAGAGTCTGGAGACGCCGTGGAGATCGTTCTGCTGTTTGCAACATCCTCCAGCATGACTGGTTTGGCGGTGGGTCAGTCATGGTGTGGGGTGGCATTTCTTTGGGGGGCCGCACAGCCCTCCATGTGCTCGCCAGAGGTAGCCTGACTGCCATTAGGTACCGAGATGAGATCCTCAGACCCCTTGTGAGACCATATGCTGGTGCGGTTGGCCCTGGGTTCCTCCTAATGCAAGACAATGCTAGACTTCATGTGGCTGGAGTGTTTCAGCAGTTCCTGCAAGAGGAAGGCATTGATGCTATGGACTGGCCCGCCCGTTCCCCAGACCTGAATCCAATTGAGTACAATTGGGACATCATGTCTCGCTCCATCCACCAACGCCACGTTGCACCACAGACTGTCCAGGAGTTGGTGGATGCTTTAGTCCAGGTCTGGGAGGAGATCCCTCAGGAGACCATCCGCCACCTCATCAGGAGCATGCCCAGGCGTTGTAGGGAGGTCATACAGGCACGTGGAGGCCACACACACTACTGAGCCTCATTTTGACTTGTTTTAAGGACATTACATCAAAGTTGGATCAGCCACTAGTGTGGTTTTCCATTTTAATTTTGAGTGTGACTCCAAATCCAGACCTCCCTGGGTTGATAAATTTGATTTCCATTGATAATTTTTGTGTGATTTTGTTGTCAGCACATTCAACTATGTAAAGAAAAAATTATTTAATAAGATTATTTCATTCATTCAGATCTAGGATGTGTTATTTTAGTGTTCCCTTAATTTTTTTGAGCAGTGTATATTGTAAAGTGGTTGTCCCACTGGCTATCATAAGGTGAATGAACCTATTTGTAAGTCGCTCTGGATAAGATCGTCTGCTAAATGACGAAAATGTAAATGTAAAATGAGATCAAATACTTTTTTTTCCCTCACTGTACATACATACATACATACATTCTGGCGTATGGTAGGCTAATAAGCCAGATATAAAGTCAAGATGCGTCTTTGTTGGCAGTCCTACAGTAGCTTGGGTACCAGAGTCTGTTTAGCTAACTTTCCACTCCTTGTAGGCCTACTCTGTGTCATTGCCGGAGTATAAGGAGTGGAAGGTTAGCTAAACAGACTGGTACCCAGGCTAGTCCTACTGAGCACTTTGACTCCGATACCATAAAGTATTCTTCTGACATTTTAATGTAATTTAAAAAGAATGTAATTTTTGATTCCTTCACAGGAAATCGCCCAGGTTTCAGGTCAATGGGGCCAGTGAAGATGACCAAACTGGTGAGCTTAAAGCATGTTTCACATTATGATGCAAACACGATCTAGGTCTTTCCTAGAACATAACAATTCATCTATTTAAAAATGCATGTCATAAAAAACACACCCAACTACAAAACACTTTTAAGAGGATGTCGCACAAGTTACTCCTTTTAAACAATCATTTTCATTCAGACTCATTCACCTACATGGATTTGTGAATAAGTTATGAATTGTGTTTTGAATACCTGTTCCAGAGGGGTCCCCTAGACCAGGAGGATCCCAGGGGGTTGTGAGACGCAGCACCAGAACCACCAGATACCAACAGACCATGATCTACGACCACCTCATCACTAAGTAAGGAGCATCACCACAAAACCCTGATTCCCCCCAACCCCCCTTCCCAATAGGGATTATTATAGGCATATTACAAATTCCTCTGCTTTTCCCCAAAAATGAGAAGTACACAATTAATACTTATTGCATTGGGACCCAAAACCTCCATGAAATCATGCTAAAGAAGGATACCTTCAGAAGTTTTTATATTGTCACTTGTTTTTCTCCATAGCACTGCTGAGGCAGTCCTCCACAAGATGGATGACATGAAGAAGATGCGCCGCCGCTCAAAACAAGCAGTGAGGCTTTTTCCATCCTGTGAAATATAATTTTGTCATTCAGCCATCCACAAAGGCAGGGATGAAATACAGTACAGGGCTATATATTTATGCTGTATAATTTGCAAACAATAAGAAACCATTCATTGACAGGGTCCCCATTAGAGATTGACATTGAAGACTCACACTAACTCTACTTAAACACAAGGGCTTGTTGCACTGTAGAAATGTGTACATAATAACTGGGCACTTTTTCAAGGTTCTAAATCTTCTGCTACCGCACACAATCTCTTATCAGGCCATTGTAAGAGTGTTGCACCCATCTGTGGTCCACCACACTCTCGCTCTCTCGCTCTCTCGCTCTCTCGCTCTCTCGCTCTCTCGCTCTCTCTCTCTGCAGCCCTCTTTGTTGTGGTTTTGGGAAAGTAATCACAATGTTGTCATATTGTTGCTTCATTCACCAGCAGCTGACTTATAAAGGGTTTATCAGTGTCCACCATATTTGAAGAAGAAGGAGTAGTAATGCATTTAATTAGAATTTCACACAATTATCCCTGGTTTAGAACCTTGAGATATGGGAAATAAGAGTAGTGCATGAAAATCAATAATAACCAATAATCCCTTTTGAGACCAATAAGTCTCACTGAAATATGTACCATTGTGTCATACAGGCCACTGAAAAAATGAAATAGCTATACCATACCATATCTATTAAGTTCTTTTTTTATTCTTTTTTTTTTTATGTAGCGGATCTATTCTAAAGCCCAGCGAAAGAAGACTACTGATCGTCCAACCGTAAAAGGTCTGTTTCTATTGTAGTGTAAGTCAGTTACAGTGTTTGACCATAACTCTCTAAACATTAATTCATGAACTTTTGGTCCAATACCTATTTCCAGAGTACTCTGATGATGATGGAGAGGAGGTTGACGATGATGAGGACGACGAAGATGAGGACGATGAATACGACGATGAGGATAACAGCAAGCCCTATGAACCTCGACAGAAAAAAGCAGTGGTTCGCTACCAGGCCCCCCTGGATGGTTGGTCCTTTTTGGTCCCGTAAAAAGCACATCCCAACTTATTACTCTTCACTGAACTAGAGTCTTCTGAGAAATGTTCTCCATAACTTACTTAGTTAATCATCTCAATTAATGAACGTAGCAGGGTCGTTCCGCCAATTCGGTGCCTTTCGAGAAGTGGCGCAGTGGTCTAAGGCACTGCATTGTGCCACTAGAGATCCTGGTTCGAATCCAGGCTCTGTCGCAGTCGGCCGCGACCGGGAGACTCATGGGCGGCGCACAATTGGCCCAGCGTCGTCCAGGGTAGGGGAGGGAATGGCCGGCAGGGATGTAGCTCAGTTGATAGAGCATGGCGTTTGCAACGCCAGGGTTGTGGGTTCGATTCCCACGGGGGGCCAGTATAAAAAAATATGTATTCACTAACTGTAAGTCGCTCTGGATAAGAGCGTCTGCTAAATGACTAAAATGTAAATGTAAGTGTAACTTTGTAAAAATAAAATAAAAAATGTTTGACTTCATAAACAAGTTTGCCCATTTCAAACTGTAGTAAGTGCCTATTAATGTCTAAATAAAGTAGCAGGGTTGACTGTAACAGGGTAGACGATTTTTTCTTAAATCAGCCATAAAACCCCTTGTGACAGCGGGAATGGAAGCGTGTTAATAATAATAATAATAATATGCCATTTAGCAGACGCTTTTATCCAAAGCGACTTGCGACATGTGTGCATACATTTTTACGTATGGGTGGTCCCGGGGATCGAACCCACTACCCTGGCGTTACAAGCGCCATGCTCTACCAATTGAGCTACAGAGGACCACGTGTTGTGTGCAACAGCGAATGGCAATTGAATGCAAGCTTCACAAAAAAATATGAAGTTGTTAAAACGTTTCTAGCCTGTCTATCTATGGGTAACAGGGTTGACGCGGTATGCTTGACCCGCTCTGTTTTCCACCACAAAACACCAGACAATTGTCAAAAAGAGTAGAACTAGCTCACCTGCTTTTACACTATGATTTGACTATTAGATGTTAAATGTTTCTTTTGAAAAACAAAATATTTAAAAAGGAATAGTTTCACCATATTAAAATGAGAGTTCAGTAAAATGAGGGACAAATGTAAATGAATCACATGAAATAAATAATAATCTTCAGAAATGACTTTGTCAAAGCAACAAAATAACTAGGGCTTTCCAATGATGGTGAAAACATTTTGGGGTTAAGTTGGTTAAAATCTTCCTAGAAGTCACAGAGGGTGCACAGAGGGACATGCTACATTTGTGCACTTTAGCAAGTCTTCATTTATATAAAGAAATTAGATTAATTAAATTATCCATGTGGTCTATATTAAATGGCACTTAATTTAATATAACAGGGTTTTAAAATGCAATATTAGTGCATGATTTCTGCTTAAAATATCAAAGGGCCTTCATTTCGTGGAACGACCTAGCAGTGCTGATTGGGATGCGGTCTGATCTAGTCTATAATAAGAAGAGTCTACCGCACACCCAAAACCAATAACTGAAGGTGCTGGAGACAACTGGAAAAACAGGAAAAAGTCTCCGCACACTTTAAGTCAGATACAAAGGTATTTTAATGATAGCTAAGCTTTCGGTCAGTCGACCTTCATCAGAGCATACCTCCACAAACAATATTCTGATCTAAAAAGCAAAACTGAGCCTAGATCAACACTCCTACTCTGAAATGCTTGATTATGGGCTGAGATCAGTGCTTACCTTGATGTTACTCCTCTCACTGTTTCATCTGTAGGATCAAGGAAACAGCCGCCCATGTTTTTCGACCGTCAGGCATCTTCCATTAGAGGGAGCTACCGCATCAGTGCCTCAGTGCCCAGGAGTGCCCACACCACCAGCCGAAGGAGTGGCAGGTCTGCACGGTTGCTCACCCTCCCACAGTACTGTACTTCACAGTACAGACATTGGCACTTTACCAATAGTCTTAGTGCATATGTATAGAACATTGGTTTTATTGTGACAAAAATATATTGTAGGGTCCAATAATGCTGTGTTTCATGTGTTGGGTCCTTGTAAATGGTTATAGTTGTTGTGTTGTAAATATAGATTACTTTTCAATGAGATGTTTAATGTTTTTCTCCTCTTTTCTTGTTTCACTGTTTCAAACAATAGGATTGGATCCATAGGCAGGTGAGTCTTTGGCACAATTTAAACAACTTAGGTCTCACATTTGCTATTGGGGACTGACAACTTGGGAAGAGAGGAGCATGGTAAAGTAGTGAAGAAGTTTGTCCTTTCTCAGTCTCCTTACGGTTTGGTTTGACCCACAGGAGAAGGCATGCTTGGCACACCCGAGAAGCCAGCTCCTCTGATGAGGACGACTCCTCTGATGAGGAAGATGCAGAGCAAGAAGCCAAGAACAGGTCAGTTAACATGTCATCAATTTGATACACTTCAACAGTTTTACTTGTCCCTATAATGATAAAATGATTAATTTAGTTCACAGATGAAATCTCCCCTAGAAAATGATACTACAGAAAAGATGAAACAATGTTTTATTACATCATTTGTTATTTGTCTACTGATCATCTGTTATTTGCCATCACAAATTATCTTGGACATGATTCAATCATATTTAAAGGATAATGAACATGCTAGAAAAAAAGGGCCTGGGTGAGCAGACCAATGATTCCCACTCTTGAATGTTTTTGAACTGTGTCTATGACAACATGAGTGGTGGTCGTCGATGATGTAATAATAGACGATGGTTCCATCTTGGTTATTCTGGTAATATCTCCTTGGTGAGCTTAATTGGGAGCCAGACCTTTGGAGTGAACACATGATCTAGCTCATGAGTTTCTCTATATGAGACTAACACAAGGAACAGAATATAAATATTTGAATTTTGAAACAAAATCTCAATCTAATATTTTACACCAGTGGAATCCGGTGTGGTTTTGAGCTTTTGCTCAGAATAAACTTGACAAAACTGCAATCTCTTTCATTTTGGGATCCCTCTCAGGTGTCAGCCTCTGAATTTGCGCAAAGAGGACATTTTGGGAATCCTTAAGGACAGAATGAAAATCGGTGCGAGCCTCGCGGATGTCGACCCCATGGCGATTGACCAGTCGGTAAGTTCTAACATCACAGTCAGCTGAATTGAAATGTGAAATGATTTTAAGCTATTTTAATGTCAAAGTTGGTTTGCCTACATGCTATGGTCTTTAAATGATCTGCCTGCTTCTTCTGTGTAATGTTCCAACCACCTCTCTTCCCTCAAGGTGCGCTTTGACAGCGTCGGCGGTCTGACAAGCCACATCTCCGCCCTGAAGGAGATGGTCGTCTTCCCTCTGCTCTACCCAGAGGTGTTTGACAAGTTCAAGATCCAGCCCCCTAGGTGAGCACTTGTTTTAAGGTTGAAAAGCTAACATTCTTTGTTGGGTAACTAACAGTTGATTTGACTATTGATTTACATTGTCTTGGATAGCTTACCTTAATGACATAGGAAATAGTGTATGACAGGATGAGGAACTTACTTGGGTGAGCAACAAGAATGGATCCTGTCAATGGATTAAAGCCCCACCCCCAACCCTAATCACAGCTCCATCCACTCATTTAATTAGCTCTTGGATCAGTTGTGTCCTTTGCAAGGATACATTCTAAGACAGTCCCTGTTGTCTATTGCAGGGGCTGCCTGTTCTATGGACCCCCGGGTACGGGGAAGACCCTGGTGGCCAGAGCGCTGGCCAACGAGTGCAGCCAGGGGGAGAGGAAGGTGGCCTTCTTCATGAGGAAGGGGGCCGACTGCTTGAGCAAGTGGGTGGGCGAGTCGGAACGCCAGCTAAGGCTGCTCTTTGACCAGGTACAGTACATTTCCTCATACAACACACTGGATTCATATAATTATCACTGGTGCATTCAGTCTTTGTGAGACCATTGAGTCTAGTATTTGCCTATCTATCAGAATTTCCTGCTCAAGTCACTGTTGGTCTCTTATTGTAACTCTGCATAGGGAAATGTAAGCGTGGCTGGCTATACAGTGTTTGAGGGTAATGCCTATTATATAGGGACGTACTTGCACTGACCGCAAGACTCATTATTTGTACCCACAGGCCTACCAGATGCGGCCAGCCATTATCTTCTTTGATGAAATTGATGGGTTGGCTCCGGTTCGCTCCAGTCGCCAAGACCAGATACACAGGTGAGACATTTCAGCCACTCATTTCACACCAGTGAAGTCACTGCTTACAGAGACATACCCTTGATTGTGTACTCCCCACTTGTGGTTCCTTCCTGCAGTTCCATCGTGTCCACCCTGCTGGCCCTGATGGATGGCCTGGATAGCCGAGGAGAGGTGGTGGTGATTGGAGCTACCAACCGACTGGACTCCATCGACCCCGCCCTTAGACGCCCTGGACGCTTCGACAGGGAGTTCCTCTTTGGCCTCCCTGATCGCGAGGTAAGACTAATCACCTGTGGGGGGGAATCCTCACTTGAGTTGATATGTGTGCATGCATAACTCAAATGTTCATCCAAATCTTCCACTGAAATCAGAGACCTACATGCAGTTACGTTTCATTCGTGTACTTTACTTTTAATTTCTTTCTCCAACTTCAGTCCCGGAAAGATATCCTAACGATTCACACCAGACAGTGGAATCCTACACCGTCCGATCCTTTCCTGGAAGAGTTGGCTGATAAATGTGTTGGTAGGTGACTAATGTATACCAAATCAACTCTAGCATTGGGCAAGTCAAAATTGTACAATAATTGTAAGAACGAAAATAACTATGTCATTTTGTTGTCTCATAATATTCAGACATCTATCGATTTAACACAGTTCCACAGTCAATCCTACACATGCCATGTATTAACCGCAACATCTTCCCTTTCTGCACCCCAGGTTACTGCGGCGCCGACATGAAGGCGGTGTGCGCCGAGGCGGCCCTCTGCGCGCTGCGCCGTCGCTACCCCCAGATCTACGGCACGTCCCAGAAGCTCCTGCTGGACGTGGGCTCCATCAACATCAACAGCCGGGACTTTGTGGCCGCCATAAGGAAGATGGTACCAGCCTCCCAGAGGGCCGTGTCGTCCCCTGCCAAGGCCCTGACCCCCGTGGTCACGCCCCTGCTGGGGCCCACACTCACCAACGTGCTGGACGCGCTGCAGAAGCTCTTCCCCCACGCCGAACAGGGCCTCAAGAGGAAGAGGGACACAGGTGGGTCTGGGTCGCGGTTCAGTTTGGTCTGAGAACAAAGTCACAGTCATTGTTATCTGGTCCCATATGTATTTTGTTCTGTCTTGCCGACTCCTGTAGTCATTGTTATGCCAATGTTGACTATACAGCACAAACAGATGTTGGACCAGGCTAGGTCACTATTACAGTGGATCATTGGTTAAGTTCAGTTGATGCAATTTCTTAATCAAGTTTTTCCTTTGGTCAGATCTGACAGCCAGCGTTCTGGAGGATGACCTCTTGTACAGTGGGGATGAGGGCCCCTCATCCAATAATTCCATCACCAAACAGACCACCACCAAAGGGAGCTTCCTCCATTTTGCCAGGTAAGATATAGCCTACCTATAAGATGTAGATACATTTTGCCCTTTAAAGAAACCCCCGTTTCCATTCATAATCACATCCCTGAGTCGCCATTCACTTCACCTCTCGCCTCTGTTCCAGGAGTGCGACCTGCCACCCCACCACCTACCGGCCCAGGCTGCTGCTGGCTGGGCGTCCCGGGGCGGGTCAGAGCTCCCACCTGGCCCCCGCCGTGCTCCACGCCCTGGAGAAGTTCACCGTCTACACCCTGGACATGGCCGTGCTGTTTGGAGTCAGCTGCACCTCCCCCGAGGAGGCCTGTGCTCAGGTACAGGCTGGACCGAATGTAGTCTTAAGAAGTAAAATGTTAACATGCTCCTCTCATTTGTGGTGCAGAGAACTATAGCCCCAGAGTTGACTTCATTGTAGAAAGGCTAACTCCATCAAGCACATAATTACTAAGTCAAGTGCAGCAAGATGTTGGTACAGTACTAATAGTTTACATCCCGACCTAAGTGCTAGGTTGGTGAGTGATACACTGTCAATGACCTCTCATCCCCTCTCGCCCTGCCTGCCCCAGGTGTTCTGCGAGGCCAAGCGGACCTCCCCAAGCATCCTGTACATCCCCCACATTCAGCAGTGGTGGGACACGGTGGGCCTGGCCCTCAAGGCCACCTTCCTCACCCTGCTGCAGGACATCCCCTCCTTCTCCCCCATCATGCTGCTGGCCACCAGCAACGTGGCTCACCACGACCTGGCCGACGAGGTAGGTCTTACCTGGGGCTCCCTCACCATACATTACAAGTACTGAAGAGAAGTGGTACGTGCACCTTTCTGGGCTACTCAACCCATGAGTAGATTTGTAATCCTTTTTTTTTTTTACACTTCAGTTAATACTCTTTGTAGAAGTGAAGACCATAAATGGTCACTGAGGTAACTATTCCACAATTTGTCTCTCTCAGATCCAGACTCTGTTCCGGTTGGAGTACGGAGAGGTGCACTGTATCCAAATTCCCACCCAGCAGGAGAGAAGGAAGTTCTTTGAGAATCTCATCCTTAGCCAGGCTGCCAAGGCACCCGCCTCCAAGAAGAAAGCCTGTAAGTACAAGATATTTATACCTTTTGATAATCACTTGGTATAATTGCTGTTTGTGTCCCATCTCCATTTTAACCCTCCTTCTCCTTTACCCCCTCTTCCTCCCCCACCTCAGTGATGCATGCCATGGAGGTGCTCCCCCTTGCCCCTCCTCCTCCCCCCAGGCAGATGAGTGAGAGGGAGCGTTTGCGTTTGGAGGAACAGGAGGAAGACACACTCAGGGAGCTGAGGTTGTTCCTGCGCAACGTCACCGAGCGCCTCTCCCAGGACAAGCGCTTCAAGGCCTTTACTAAGCCTGTGGACATCGAAGAGGTAGGGTGAAAACACAGAGAAAGAGAGAGGAACAAGGAAGGAAAGATGGGGTGTTGTAGTCCAGGGGACATTGCTCTGTGTAGGGTGCCTTCTTTCAGATGGGACGTTAAGTTGGTGTCCTGACTCTCTGTGGTCACTAAAGATCCCATGGCACTTATCGTAAGAGTAGCGGTGTTAACCCCGGTGCACTGGCTAAATTCTCAATCTGGCCCTCATACCATCATGGCCACCTAATCATCCCCAGCTTCCAATTGCCCCCCCCCCCCCCCCCCCCCCCCCCCGTAACTATTCCCCAGGTCGTTGCTTTAAATGAGAATGTGTTCTCAGTCAACTTACCTGGTAACATAAGGGTAAAATAAATGAATAAAAATAGTCTAGATTACTTTTACTCTAATGTAAGCTAAATGTTGACTGACCCAAACTTAGTCAATACATAACTAGCGAGTCTGAATACAAGTACATACATTCTAAATGAGCTGTGGTCCCTTGGGAGGGCTGCACTTTCGTCACCTCAGATATGTAGCCTCTCTCCTTTACCAATGCTCTCATCCAAAACAACCTATCAGAGTGGTATTGTGTCCCCCATCTTATCAATGGTTTGTGTTCTTCTCTCACCAGGTTCCTGACTATATTAAGGTGATCAGGCATCCCATGGACCTCTCCACTGTACTGTCCAAGGTCGACCTCCACAAGTACGTGACCGTCAGGGAGTTTGTCAACGACGTGGACCTGATCTGGAAGAACGCCCTGGAGTACAACCCTGACAGTGACCCATCTGGTATACCTTCAATCATCTCCATCTCATTAAACTGAGTGATGTTATTATTTTATTATAACTGACATGTAATATAATTCTAGCCTGGTTCCAGATCTGTTTGCGCTGTCTTGCCAATGACCATAGGAGTTGGCAAGACATTACAAACAGATCTGGGACCAGGCTTATCTTACTCCACAGAGTATGCTACATTATTATTTTTGTTAGGTATCTCTGAAGATATTTTGATCCCTTCTCATTGTTCCGCTGCAGTTAGTGGGCCCCATGGACGACAAGGCCCCCTACCTATGTACCTTTGTCATCAATGTCTCTCTCTTTGTGTTTCCAGATCGTCAGATTCGTCACCGGGCTTGTGCCCTGAAGGACACGACCCACGCCATCATCCGCGACGAACTGGACGAGGACTTTAACAGGATCTGTGAGCAGATCAGAGAGTCACGCAACAAGAGAGGTAACTGCTGCTGCTTATAACGTTGACGTATTGCTGGGATTTAAAAGTTACAGTAGTGACCTCTCGTTAACACTTTATTTGGATAGTCCGTCTGTAGATGCTCTACAGACTATCAGTAACATTTCAACTATCTCCTAACCTTAACCCTTATTCTAAACATAACCGTAATCTTAGCAAGAAGTTGCTTATCAACAGATAGTTTGTTGATAGTATCTACAGATGGAAAATCCGGACTATTCAAATAGTGTGACCGACCACTCTCCAGATGAGTTTAGCTAGCTATTGTATCAGTTTCAGTGTCTAGTGTCAGCTTCTTTACTATTTGTCCAATGATGAGATGAACCCTCTCTTATTTTCCTTAAAACATCTTAGTTTTCATTGATAAAGCGAATAACATGTTTATGTCTGCTAACAGGGTGCACGTCATCAAAGTTCGCCCCCTCCTACTACAAGACCTTGCCCAGAGAGGAAGGGTTTGCAGAAACCAAGAGGCCATGCGGTAACACTGGCAAAGACGCTAGTACCCCGTTCACTGCCAACACCCCACGGCCCGCACGTAAGTCTCACCACTCTACTCCTTAACTGTTTATTTTTAGGTTTTTTGTTACAGAGCAGAGGAACATCCAGTGGAAATTACAGAGCCTTCAGAAAGTATTCATATTTGACTTATTCCACATTTTTTTGTATTACAGCCTGAATTCAAAATGGATTAAAGTAAGCATTTCACTGTAATGTCTGCACCTGTTGTATTCGGCGCATGTGACCAATAAAATTTGATTTGATTTGATTTGAAATATATTTTTTTATCTCACCCATCTACACACAATACCCCATAATGACAAAGTGAAAACATGTTTTTAGAAATATATTTCTGTATTTCATTTTCAATACGTCATTTACATAAGTATTCACACCCCCGAGTCAATACTTTGTAGAAGCACCTTTGGCAGTGATTACAGCTGTGAGTCTTTCTGGGTAATTATTGAAGAGCTTTCCACACCTGGATTGTGCAACATTTTCCCATTATTCTTTTCAAAATTCTTCAAGCTCTGTCAAATTGGTTGTTGATCATTGCTAAACAACCATTTTCAGGTCTTGCCATAGATTTTCAAGTAGATTTAAGTCAAAAATGTAACTCGGCCACTCAGGAACATTCACTGTCTTCTTGGTAAGCAACTCCAATGTAGATTTGGCCTTGTGTTTTAGGCTTTTGTCCTGCTGAAAGGAGAATTCATCTCCCAGTGTCCGGTGGAAAGCAGACTGAACCAGGTTTTCCTCTAGGATTTTGCCTGTGCTTAGCTCCATTCCATTTCTTTTTTTTATCCTGAAAAACTCCCCAGTCCTTAACGATTACAAGCATACCCATAACATTATGCAGACACCCCTATGCTTGAAAATATGGAGAGTGGTACTCAGTAATGTATTGTATTATATTTGCCCCAAACATAACACTTTGTATTCAGGACCAAAAGTGAACTGCTTTGCCACATTTTTTACATTATTACTTTAGTGCCTGCATGTTTTGGAATATTTTTCATCCTGTGTAGGCTTCCTTCTTTTCACTCTGTCAATTAGGTTAGTATTTTGGGGTAACAACAATGTTGTTGATCCATCCTCAGTTTTCTCCTGTCACAGCCATTAAACTCTGTAACTGTTTTAAAGTCACCATTGACCTCATGGTGAAATCCCTAAGCGGTTTCCTTCCTCTCCGGCAACTGAGTAAGGAAGGACGCCTGTATCTTTGTAGTGACTGGGTGTATTGATACACCATCCAAAGTGTAATTAATAACTTCACCATGCTCGAAGGGATATTCAATGTCTGCTTTATTTAAAAAAAAATCCATCTACCAATAGGTGCCCTTTGTGAGGCATTGGGGACCTTACAGATAAATGTATGTGTGGGGTACAAAAATGAGGTAGTCAATCAAAAATCATGTTAAACACTATTGTTAAACACTATTATTGCACACAGAGTGAGTCCATGCAACTTATTATGTGACTTGTTAAGCAAATCTTTACTCCTGAACTTATTTAGGCTCATAACAAATGGGTTGAATACTTATTGACTCAAGACATTTCAGCTTTTCATTTTTTATTAATTTATAAACATTTGAAAAACATTATTCCACGTTGACATTATGGGGTATTGTGTGTGTAGGCCAGTGACAAAAAAATCTAACTGTAATCAATTTTAAATTCAGGCCGTAACACAACAAAATGTGGTAAAAGTCAAGGGGTGTGAATACTTTTTGAAGGCGCTGAATGGTAGATACTGGGCAACTACCAAGGGACAGCACTCAGGTATTCGTTTTTTTACTGCTTGATTTGCAGTACATAAGCAGTTATTATCAGTAGAAGTGGTAGTAGTGTTTCAAAGTTTAAGGGCAGAAAACTAATACCAGCCAGATGTGTTGCGAGTGATAGAAAGAAAGTGGACGTGCCAAGGATCAGGACATGAACAGAAGTAGGTATAGCCAGAGGAAGAGGAGGAGGAAAAGGAGGAGGATTCATTCCAGTTGAGTGGACCAGTCAGAAGACAAGACCAGAAAGTTAGAAACCCATGATGACAGGGAAGAGCAGAAATTGAGAGCCAGGGAGGAGAGGAAGATGATATTCATGGTTACAGAGAAGTCTGTCTTTCTGCCTGTCCATTTCTCTATCATGTTAAATGACCTCCTCTTCTCTATTTAACCACTTTCCTAGCCTGTACTCTAGCCCGTAAGAAGAAACGGCCCAAAATACGACGCAAAAGCAAATGGAGCTCCGGCATCATAAAGAAGAATAAGAAGAAACCTACGTCTTCCTTTTCTTCTAACAAGGAGATCACAAACTCAGGGGAGGAAGAAGAGGATGAGAGTGATCGCATAGGAGGGTGAAGAGAAACAAGCTAAGCCTTTGGAGACTATTCTAGAGAACGGCTGTGAATACTCCCCTATGGAGTGTACCTCAGAGAAGACCACTAAGCCTGCTGAGGATGTGGAAGAGGCCTTTGTTACAGTCCAGCCAACAACACCCCTACAAAGGAGGTAGATCAGGGGGAGAAACACCCCACAAAGACCAAAGAGCCTGAAAGGTTGGAGGACTGGGACATAGGTCTGTATTAGGGTCCAGGACCCGGGCAGAAACCAAGCTACTGCTTCTTGCCGAAGGGAACAGTTCAGTCAGTCTCACTGACCTTTGGTCTCTGGGGCTCCAGCTGTTGGGGAGATCCAACTCAACACAACGCATCAGTTAAAGGGATACATCCATCTCTTGACTTATTTAAATACTCTGTAAAAGTGAGTGCCTTTGGTTGTACTGTAAATGTGTTCACCACAGCATGAGGGTGAATAAACGCATGCAAAAAGGCTTTGTTGTAGACATCAAATGACATTAATAGTGCAAATGCTTGTATTTGTCTTCTTCTGTGCCTTAGTTCGCATGCTTTTCAAAGTAACACCTCTAAGTTCTAGAATAGGAAACCATGCCCAACTATTTAATGCTTAAGATCCAATGTAACGGAGTAGAAACCTAATTTGCATGTTAGGAGATGTGCATGTCAACACCAATTGCCCATTGAGTTAGCATTAGCAATAGCCTGTTCAGCCAGCACTGATTAAAAGGACTTTTGCTTATCAGCTCCCCCTCACACCCTCCTGATTGCTTCCTGTGTTTCCCTCCAACAGAGAGGCGTGTGACCCGTGCCACCAGGACTCTGGTACAGCAGCAGCAGTTTATCGATGTGGACAAGGCCCTGGAGATCCTGACCCAGAAGACCCCTCAGCTGGTCGTGGACCACGAGAAACTCAAGGTACCCTCCTGACCAGTCTTTCAGAAGGTCAGGCCATGCTTCTTACAATGTAGTTGTACCAGAACTACAACCACAATGTTGTAGGCCAGAAATATGGCCGAGAAAATAATCATGGTCACAGCCAAACACTTAACCATTCACCCTATATTCATACATTGATTTGTGTATAATTTCTTGTCCAGGAATTGCTCAAAAGAGTTGTGTCCAAGACTGAGGGCTATGAGGTGCATCAGCTGGAGAAGCTCTATGCGCTGTTGTGTCAGAGCATCTACAGATACCGCAAAAACTTTGATAAGACCGAGCTCGTACAGGTATGTGGCTTATAACTTGACTATTTTACGTCACTTGTTGTAGGAAATACACTACATTGAGTATGGAAACCAAAAACATTCCCTACATTGAAATGTGTGCTTAGTTAATTGATGTAAACTCAGCAAAAAAAGAAACGTCCTCACACTGTCATCTGCGTTTATTTTCAGCAAACTTAACATGTGTAAATATTTGTATGAACATAACAAGATTCAACAACTGAGACAAACTGAACAAGTTCCACAGACGTGACTAACAGAAATTGAATAATGTGTCCCTGAACAAAGGGGGGGTCAAAATCTAAAGTAACAGTCAGTATCTGGTGTGGCCACCAGCTGCATTAAGTACTGCAGTGCATCTCCTCCTCATGGACTGCACCAGATTTGCCAGTTCTTGGTGTGAGATGTTACCCCACTCTTCCACCAAGGCACCTGCAAGTTCCCGGACATTTCTGGGGGGGAATAGCCCTAGCCCTCACCCTCCGATCCAACAGGTCCCAGACGTGCTCAATGGGATTGAGATCCGGGCTCTTTGCTGGCCATGGCAGAACACTGACATTCCTGTCTTGCAGGAAATCACGCACAGAACGAGCAGTATGGCTGGTGGCATTGTCATGCTGGAGGGTCATGTTAGGATGAGCATGCAGGAAGGGTACCACATGAGGGAGGAGGATTTCTTCCCTGTAACACACAGCGTTGAGATTGCCTGCAATGACAACAAGCTCAGTCCGATGATGCTGTGAAATACTGCCCCAGACCATGACGGACCCTCCACCTCCAAATTGATCCCGCTCCAGAGTACAGGCCTCGGTGTAACGCTCATTCCTTCGATAAACGCGAATCCGACCATCACCCCTGGTGAGACAAAACCGCGACTCGTCACTGAAGAGCACTTTTTGCCAGTCCAGTCTGGGCCAGCGAATGTGGGTTTGTGCCCATAGGCGACGTTGTTACCGGTGATGTCTGGTGAGGACCTGCCTTACCACAGGCCTACAAGCCCTCAGTCCAGCCTCTCTCAGCCTATTGCGGACAGTCTGAGCACTGATGGAGGGATTGTGCGTTCCTGGTGTAACTCGGGCAGTTGTTGTTGCCATCCTCTACATGTCCCGTAGGTGTGATGTTCGGATGTACCGATCCTGTGCAGTTGTTGTTACACGTGGTCTGCCACTGCGAAGATGATCAGCTGTCCGTCCTGTGTCCCTGTAGCTCTGTCTTAGGCGTCTCACAGTACGGACATTGCAATTTATTGCCCTGGCCACATCTGCAGTCCTCATGCCTCCTTGCAGCATGCCTAAGGCACGTTCACGCAGATGAGCGGGGACCCTGGGCATCTTTCTTTTGGTGTTTTTCAGAGTCAGTAGAAAGGCCTCTTTAGTGTCCTAAGTTTTCATAACTGTGACCTTAATTGCCTACCGTCTGTAAGCTGTTAGTGCTTTAACGACCGTTCCACAGGTGCATATTCATTAATTGTTTATGGTTCATTGAACAAGCATGGGAAACAGTGTTTAAACCCTTTACAATGAAGATCTGTGAAGTTATTTATACTTTGTTAATTTTATTTTCCTTTCCCTCATTTTTAGGAAATGAAGAGAGAAATCGACAACTTTTCCTAACTTCGCTTGATGTTATCCTATTTTCCATATTGTAATAAAATATGATGCATTTAAAGATTCTCTTTTTTACCTATTATAATGGGCCTAATCATGCATTACATTGGTCTGAAATTTGGTTTACCATAATTTACAGTATTTGATGCACAGACTTGAGTCAGAATTGATTTGAGACTTGCAAGTCAGTGTGGGACCGACGGGACCAGAACAGCTGAGAAGTTTGGCCTCGCACTAAAACACTCATAGTTGTTGTGGAAATTGACCCACTATGCTGTTTACTTGCTGCATCTACGTTATATCGCTAAATCTACCTTTACTTCCATATTATTAAAGTATTTACATCCTTTTGTATGGCTTTGATTTCTTTATTATTGGGCAATTTTATCCTTATTTTCCAACATTTCCCATCAAAATTATGGGCTTTTAGGATCATTGAGAAGGGGTCAGTTCTTTCAAATATTATTTATATAATGGGCCTCTTCCTCTGGTGCTTTTTATTTTTTTCCATGGAGGAAGTCGCCTTACGATGACGTAATGACGTAAAACATTTGTCATGACGCGCTGGAAGAAAAAAAATTACTCTTTAGATTCGATGAACTATCGGTGCATACGTCTAGGCCGGTTTAAATGCATGAACAAATAAACCAAGCCGACGTTTTGTAGGCAAAAGGAAAGTGAGTGAAAAACCAACCGAATCTCGGCGCATTCACTATTCTGCTCTGCGTGTATGGTAACAACAGATGGACTCGTTGCGCTTGTGTGCCACTGCCGGAGTCGACAGTGCATTTGTTGGGGAGGGAACGACAGCAAAGGCGGAAGACGGCGCATCAGTAGTCAGATTGGAAGCTAACTGGTTGTTGCAAGATGCTTGTAAGCGACAGTTCTCTGCACGGGTAGGTAATAAAATGAACACAATGCGAAGTTAATCATACACTCACGTAATAGCTGAAATTAAAAAGATTTGACTACCATTTCTCACTTTTTGCTCAAATACTCCCATCCCCCCAAAACAGCAACATGCCGTACACTCGTGACAGAGGCAGAAGGGGACAAGTAACAGATGAATATTCTTTGCAGTGTGACTGACTGACAAGTTGTTATGCACACTGGTAGTTAGCAGACTAATGATACCATACAGAAGTATTATCAATATTACATCGAAGTATTATCAATATTACATCGATTTAGGAATTAAATGTCTTGTACTGCAGTTTTCTAAAATCACTTTGCTTTGGGCTAGAATGCATACAGTATAAGCAGCCACTTATTAAGGGTGTTTTGTGCAGCGCTCGCGCTATTTGAAGACTGGCATCAATGTTGCGCGTGGAGTTGAGTCTTGGCAGTGGAAACAATGTATTGACTTGTTAATGTATGCGTATTAGTGAAATGAAACTTTCTAAACATGTCCCACCACACCTACAACAATCTGTTAAAGTACACTGAACAAAAATATAAATACATGTAAAGTGCTGGTCCCATGTTTCATGAGCTTTAATAAAATATCCCAGAAATGTTCCATACACACAAAAAGCTTATTTCTCTAAAATGTTGTTGCCAAATTTGTTTACATCCCTGTTAGTGAGCATTTTATCCTTTGTCAAGATAATCCATCCACCTGACAGGTGTGGCATATCAAGAAGCTGATTAAACAGCATTATCGTTACACAGGTGCACCTTGTACTGGGGATAATAAAAGGCCACTCTAAAATGTGCAGTTTTGTCACTCAACACAATGCCACAGATGTCTCAAGTTTTGGGGGAGTGTGCAATTTGCATGCTGACTGCAGGAATGTCTACCAGAGCTGTTTCCAGAGAATTGAATGTTAATTTCTCAACCAAAATAATTTGTCAGTACGTCCAACCGGCCTCAAAACCGCAGACCATGTGTAACCACACCAGCCCAGGACCTCTACATCTGGTTTCTTCACCTGCGGGATGATCAGAGGGGGGAGGGCGGGGTGCTGAGGAGTATTTCTGTCTGTAATAAAGCCCTTTTGTGGGCGATAAACTCATTCTCTGGCTGGGCTTGGCTCCCAGGTGGGTGGGCTGCGCCCCTGCCCAGTCATGTGAAATCCATAGATTAGGGCCTAATGAATTTATTTCAATTGACTGATTTCCTTAAATGAACTGTAACGCAGCAAAATCTTTGAAATTGTTGCATGTTGCTTTTATATTTTTGTTCCAATAGGCATTCATGTAAATTGTTTAGACCTTGAATTTTTCTCTCAATTATGTGCACATAATATGACCCTATTGTCTCTTGCAGGATTTAAGGATGTCAACTTTCTAGTTTGAACGCCTGAAGTAATCTGCATGGAGCAACAAGTCCTGAACCAAGATTTAGATAAAAAATATATATATATATATATTCAACACAAGCGCAGATAAGACACATAATGGCGAGCAGAAGAAAATCAACAACGCCTTGCATGGTCCCTCCTGTTCAAATGGTGGATTCGGACCCTGACATGGAGGTCGCTACAGAGGGAGACGGAGAGGCTGAGGAGGGGGCAGCTAACTGTCCTGTGGAAAACTCAACTGAAAGCAACCCGGGTGAGGATGACACACAGGCCATCGACCACTTCATTAAAACTATGGACTCGAGTACGGCAGAAGGAGGTTATGAGTGCAAGTACTGCAGCTTTCAGACCTCACAGCTCAATATGTTTACCTTGCATGTGGACACTGAGCACCCAAATATAGTTCTAAACTCATCTTATGTGTGTGTTGAATGTGACTTTCACACCAAGAGGTATGATGCATTGTTGGAGCATAATGCACGCTACCACCCTGGAGAAGACAATTTCACCAGGACTATGGTGAAGCGCAACAATCAAACCATCTTTGAGCAAAGAGTCAATGACTTGACCTTTGATGGCAGTTTTGTTAAGGTTGAGGAGGATGAGGACACATCCTGTAAGGGTATTGCCCTAAGCAAAACACCAATCATGAAGATCAAGAGTAGGGCGGAGGCAAAGAAGTTTACAGGGTCAAACAAAATGGCAGATTACAGTGTCATTAAAGTGGAGAGTGATGGGGAGGAAGAGATGGAGGAGGTGGTCCCCTCTCCTGTCACCCCCACTGTAGTGGCTGTGTCAACCCCTCTGACCATTCAACCTATTCAGCAAAGCATAATGGTCAACAGCCCAAACGTGCTCCAAATAAAGACCAGTAACTCCGCCACAATGCTCCCTCCAGGGACATTGGCTCAAGTTCTGTCTGCCTTGCAGAATCAGCAGACCTCCCAGACACAGCTCCTCATCCCAGTCAGCAGTATACCCACATACAATGGGGCCATGGACAATAATGTCCTGCTGGTCAGCGCCTACAACAGGTTCCCTTACCCATCTGTGTCTGAGATCATGGGTCTAGCAGCCCAAACCAAGTTCACAG